TATGGTGACGACGATCATCATCATCATTTTGCGTGGAACAAATGGTGGTGAATAAATTTGCAATGATGATTAGCTTGTTTTTTCCTTCTCTCTTTGTTCACCCCCTTTATTATTTCACATTTTTTTTCTGGTTCTGGCTTCGATTTCCATGTTTCAATCGAATTATTCTATCCATCATCATTCATTAATATCATTCATCGTTTGGATATTAATATCAAACAGAAAAGGCCGGAAAAAATGAGATTCAAATAATTCAGTGAACCAGAAAAAAAATATCAAGCAAATGATGAAAAACCAAAAAAAAAAAGAAAGTGCAGAAAAAAAAATCAATTACAAAATGACAGAATATGACAATAACATTCGATTACGACACACACACACACACACACACACACACACACACAGAAAATTTATCCATTTTGAAAAATTGGGTGTACACAAAAGTGTTAATTAGATAATCAAAAAAAAATCGTAAAACAAAAAATACAGGAATATATTCTTTGATGAGAACAAGATTACCAGAATATTCTTGAACAACAAAACAACAAAAACAGTAACAATATCACATGAAATGTTTAATAACAAAATATTATGTCTACACCCAAATCATTTTATCCTTGGGAAAAAAATGGCATCCTTTTTGGCATATCAAAATAATTAATGAAATGCAGAAGAGGATGATGAAAATCCTTTAAATAGTGGATAATGAAAAAAAATTAAGAACTTGTAAATTATGTTCAAGAATCGTTGTTGTTGTTGTTACAAACAACAATCACTTATACTTGAAAAATATCATTAAAGAAAGAGTGATGGTGAGTGAACAAAAAAAAAAAGAATCCAAGATTCGAGGTCAAATCGTTTGCTAATCTTCTTCAATGTACAATAGTGTGTGTCTTGTTACTTTTTTTTTTTCTTGATAATAAAATAAGAACAGTATAAAAAACACACACATACATCGGAAAATACCCGTTATCAGTACAACCATTCAAACCAGATAACTAAACAAATAAACTGACAACAACAACAACAACAACAGAAGAATATAGCTAAAACTTGTATTTATTACACAATAAGGATTGCAAAGATTCTCTAGCTTTAAATGATTTTTTTTTTGACATGATTCTTTTTGTGTATCCAGTTGTGATCAATTGTGTGTGTATGTTTTTTTTTGCTCTATTTTCAATGATGATTACCCGAATCGAAATCCCTCGGGCATCATTGCTCCCGGCTGATAATGACGTTGTTGTTGTTGTTGTTGATGATGATGATGATGACCAAAAAATATACATGAAGTGTGGAAAAATAAAATGAAATGAAAATTCTATGGAAAAAAGGAAATCGATAAAAATAAAAAAAAACAAACTAAAACCTAGAGACTCTAGAGATTCTGGTGAAAAATAAAAATAAAATCTATCTTTCAATGATTTTCAACCACTATGATGATGAGTGAAAAAAAACATGAAATCAGAATTTCTTGCTGTTGTTGTTGTTCATCCAAAAAAAAACCAACGTTATATGATGATGACAATTATTTTTTCAGTGCGCTGCGATACAACTATTTTTTTTTCTTTCCGGTATTTTTCTTATATTTATGATAACCAACAACAAAAAGTTTGTTTATCGCTTCCGGAACAAGTCAAGTTTTGTTTGTTTGTTTGTCTGTTTGTTTGTCTGTTTGTTTGTTAATAGATATATGGTCTCTGAAGATGACAATATTCAATATTTCAATAAAATTTCAATGCATTTGGCGATTAAATCAAATCAATATAATGCATTTTCGGGAGAAAACAGAGCAAAAAAAAATCATATGGATTTTAATCAATTCAAAATCATCGATTATGATGATGACAACATTTGATTTAAAATGAGAAAAAAAAATCATTTTAAAAAAATTAAACAAAAAAAATTCTCATTCCAATACACAGAACATCAATCAATCATATGTAGGAATCACCATGTAACGGAAAATAACTAATTTTTTTTCACAACTGAACAATGACAAATTGAAAGATTTTTTTTTCATATTGTCATATTGAATTAAAATGAAAATGATCCCGTACACCAAAATGATATTTGCGCGCGTTTTTTCACTTTTTTTTTATTCTCGTTTTTCTCGTTTTTTTTGATTTTGCAAAAAAAAACCAACGAAAAAAAAAAAAGAAAACCAAGTCAAACGATTCGAATTAATTTAATTAACTTTTCTTTTCTTTTCTTTTCATTTCATGGTGTGTGTGTTTCAAGCTATTTAGATGAAAAGTGATAGAGAAAAACAAAGCAAAAAAATGGCAGCAGCATGTGAATGAAGCGTACAAATTTTCCAAAATAGTTTCAAAAGCAATGATTCGAAATGAATGACTCTCTCTCTCTCTCCTTTGTGTGTGTGTGTGTGCGTGTATGCGATTCCGATCGATAGCAATGCTCATACATCAACCGTTATGATTTGTGTATGTGTGTGTGTGTGTTCAAATGACTTATAGTGTGCGCAAATGATATTTGGAAAATATCTGGAAAATGAAACTCAAAAAAAAAAAAAATTGCCAAAATGAACAGCATAATACATTTGACACACTGTGAAAAGTATTGTGTATATAAAATAGAGAAAAACGTTGAGAATTATTTTTTACATATCATTTAGCACCCAGAAAAAAAAGGAAAGAGAGATAGAGAGAGAGAGAGAGAGTGAGTATAATTGAAACATTGTGAAAATTCTTTTTCATTTTTGCCATTAAAGTGTAAAACAATGGATAAACCATAAGGTACTTTTTTTTATTCGTTCACGATTTTGTTTTCTGAAGCTTTTTTTGCTATTTGATTATTATTGTGAAATTCATTGCACGAATGACACATTTAACTGAATGAATGAATGAAAAAAAAAAAAAAATTCTCTGTAGGCATTGAAAATCGAACTACATTACAACAAATTCAAACCCAAATTCACATATATATATATAGACATTAATATAATAATAAATAAAAGAAAATTGACGTTTCTTTTGCTGGTTTTTATTTCTTTAAAAACATTTAGATAAGCAATTAATATAAAACATGGTGGATAATGATGATGATGATGATGATAATCGACACAGGAAGACATTTTTTGTTTTCGATGATAAAACAAAAATACCAGAATAATTCTTTATCCATAAAAAATGCAAACATTGGATCGATATCCGGTGGAAAAACTTTTTTTATCTTTTTTTTTTTCTCATACAAAAATACTATTCTTTGATTGATGAAAATATGAAAAACAACAACAACAACAACAACAATTTGTTCCAACTAGAACAACAAAAAAAAAAAACACCAGATTTTCATCCAAATATTATAGAAACCAACAGAACAAACAACAACAACAACAACAACAAAAATTCGTAAATGTATCAAGAACTAGAACGGTGAAAAAAAAGCTTAAATCCCATATACTGAAGAAATTGTTTGCCAATAAAATCGTAAATTATTATTTTTTCTTTGAATCGAACAACAACAACAACAACAATAACAATAATTATTAATGATGATTCGTATAGAATAACATTCAGATTTTTAGTTTTGCTGTCAAATTCTGATATTTTTTTTTTTTTTTTTTGTTTTACCATCTTATTTCAAAAATTTATGAAATTGAAAAAAAATCTAATTTTTTTTAAATCCATGAAAATCTTGCCAGATACAACAATCCAGTAGCTATAGCTGTTGTTGTTGTTTATTTCATTTTTCTTTACAATGCACTAAATATTTGTTGTCAATTGCATGCCAACCATATTTATGTGTGTGTATGTGTGTAATAATAAAGATATTGGATCCTCAAAAATAATGATAATGTACCATTTTTATATAGTGTTTTGGTAGATAACCATTCACATCGATGATGATGATGATGATGATGATGATATTGGTTAGTTATCACGATACGATATTTATGAGCAGACACTATTTATTTAATCGGTTCATTATTATCGACAACTGAAAAAATATTATATAATACATAATAATAATAATAACAGGAATAATATTTTGGCTATAAATGGACTTGGATATAAAATAAAATCATTCACTTCAAGTACTATCAAATATGGCCATAAAAAAAATTGGTCCATAAATACTATGGTCTCTTTAACTATTTTTTTTTTTTATACTTTATCTTTTTAGATCGATTTTTTTTCCAATCTCTCCATAATGATGCTGATCATCATCATCATCATCATCATCATTATAATCATCAGTTGACAGTTATTGTATGAAAATTGGGATTTAACTTTATAGAAATAAATATTTAAGAGCCTAGGAATCTGGGAATTTTTTTTTTTTTCGTTTTGTTTTGAATATAATCACAAAACAATCGGATAAAATCGTATGAATTTGATTGAAAAATAAAAATAAAAATAAAATAAAAAAGAATCAGTATTTTGTTTATAGACAACTGAATATTTTTAAAATGAAATGAAATTGATTTCGAAAGAAAAAAAAAATCGAAGAAAAAAAAATAATCGAATTGCCATGTGTGTGTGTGTGTGTGTGAAATAGCCTATAATTGAATTATGAGAATCATCGTAATAGAATTTTAAAATTGAAATTTGAATAAATTTTCTTTTGTTTTATTTATTTATTTTGAAAATTTGTTTGTTTGTTTTTATCATTATGGATGTCATTTGTGTTCATCAATGTGTTTCTTATTTATTTTTTTATTTTTTTTTATTTTATGGTAAGATATATTGAATTTTGCATTTGAAACAATACGAAAAAAAACAAATTGAATGTAATCAAATTGATTTGAATTTATCAATAATCGAATTCAATTGATTGTCATAGAAAAAGTAATGGATAAAAATCGCAAGTAATAAAATGAACAGAAAAAAAATCGTTCGTTTGTTTATTTCAATCGGATTCATTTTTTTTCAAATAAAAACTAAAAAATTCTAATTTTTTTCTACTTTTTCTATTGGTTAGTCAAAGATAATATTCTAGAGATGAAATTGAATAAAAAAAAATTTAATTCTACTCACCAATTAGCCATGGATATTGGATACCGGATGATGATGATGATGATGATGGAAAATAATTCATTAAAGGCGGTGTAAATGGTGATAATGATAATGTTCCTGGTTGTATTAAAGCAGTAACCGGTATGAAAGAATATTCAGCTTTAAAACCTTTAGCTGATTGTTGTTTCGGTGTGTTTGGTGGTGAAATAAATTCCACATATAATTGATTAGTAGATGATAATATCTCCAAAAAGGCAATATGGCCACATATCTGCTGTATAAGATCAGCATTCGAATCAATGCCATCATAGATTTGTATCACATCACTATTAGATATGCAACTATAATCGATTCGGAGGTCGATTATGAAAATAAAACCAAAACAAAACAAAACAGAAAAGAAAAATTTAAAATTTTCAATATAACGCCATCTGCTGATATGATTATGAGGTAAAATAAATTTTACAAAGAATAATTTAGCGCCATCTATTAGCCATGATAATTGTTCATGTGTGATATTATTGAACAAAAAAAAGTCATTAACAATAATTTGTCAAATTTTTTTTTTTACCATCCGGTAATATCATTTCGAACCGAATAAAAAATGAATGACAGCTGAATCAATGTGAATAAAGACGGAAACGAGATCTTGATTTAAACGAATTGAATGGAGAAAGAGAGAGAGAGAGAGAGAGAGAGAATTGAAAATTGAAAAATCGACCGAAAAGAACAAGATAAAAAAAGTGAACATCATTGAAAATCAATTCAGAACAACAAAAAAAAATCACTAAAATAGGATGAATGAATAAACTGTGAATGAGAATGAATTTCAATATGAGAAATTGAACAAAAAAAAAAAAAAAAAAAAATTCAACACTAACGACAATTATGAACGTGAATCAGAATTTTGATTGTATCCGCTAGTCTATGACTATTCAATTCAATTTTGATGGCCTCTACTAAAAAAACAGACTGTGATATGAAGAGAAAAAAAAGAAACATGAAAAGGAAATTACAATTACTTTAGAAGCCAGTGTTTTAAAAGATGGAAAAAAAATCCACCAACATTTTATGATGAATTTTTAAATTGTAAAACTTTTAAATATTGTCCATTAAAAAAAATAGAATACTTATCATCAGGCGAAAAATAAAAACTTTAAACTTTAAAATTCCATATCATTATTTTATTATCTTGGAATATTCTTTCTTTTGTTTCCTTGGTAACAAGGATTTGCTGTTGTCATCATCATCATCATCATCATAAATCTCATTAGTGTTCCGGAAAATGAAATAAATATCCATCATCGACATATTTTTTTTCATCGTCCATTAATGTTTGATGCTTCAAAAAAAAAATTTCCGATCATCACCACCCATAGAATACCAGCTACAGTGACATAAATTCAATGCTAGAAGAAATTGTTTCAAACACCATCGGAGAAGGTGTATAATTTAATTTTCGACTACTACAATATCAATACATTTAGAAACATGAATGTCCAACGCAATAGCAACAAGAAAACTTGAAAACTTGAATTGAAAGTGTTCATTTTTCAATAAAATGAAATGATGGAAAAAAAAGTTGGTAATAGCAGCAATTTACAGTTGAAAATAAATTGATTTGACAAAAAAAAAAAATAAAATAAAATAACTACACACATACACATTGAAAACCAAAATCAAATCCAAAAAAAAAAAATTTTTTTGCCTAATTTGAACGAATTAATGTTTTGGAAACAAAAATCAAGAAATCATGATTGACAAAAGACATGCGTCAAAACAAAACCAAAAAAAAAATCGAACCAATACGAATCCATACTCGATCATTCAATGAGAAAGATTTACTAATTTTAAGGCCAAATGATTAATTGTGGCCAAGCCAAACCAAAGAATCAACGAACCAAGAATAGAAAGAAAAAGCTACAACTACAATAATAATCAGACGAAGAAATTTAGATCCGACAAGAAAAAAAAAATACAAGAAAATTTCATTTCCAAAGTACAAGTGCTACAACTGAAGATAAATTCTGATTCACATTTGTTCAGTGGTGGTGGTGGTGGTGGTTAGTATTTCGTTTTTTTTTCTTCTGCTTTAATAGCTCTTATAACTTCGGATGTAATTTTAATGCAATTCCACCCGATTAATCATCATCATCATCATCATCATCGAATGTTAAACTTTGAATGAATGAATGAGAAAAAAAACATTTCCTAATGGCCATTTTGATTTTTTTTTCGCCAACACTCACAAACAAATAAAAGCAAATGGGGAAAAAAAATCGAGAATCTGAATTTAAATTTCCATTCAATCAATCGAATCAAAAATTTTCTAATGAATCCATTATTCAACAATGAGATTTGTTTGGAAACGAAAAAAAAGTTAAATATATGATACGATGATGATGACCAGTAATCGAATTTTTTTTTCTTTTTAACAAATTTTTACATTAGATTTAACAACATAAATTCACAATACATATATAAATTCTATATTCTGAAAAATGTTTGCCATTACTAATACACACATACCTTTGATCATCACGTTGTAGGCTTACTTCAACAAATAATAATCGTACACGTTGATTTGGATCATTGGTTCGAAATCGATATGAACATTTTGTACGTTTTGGATATGTGGATGGATATTGTGGTGAAAAAAAATATCCACGTTGACCGACCCAATATTTTGTTCTATTATTATTGATTGTATTGAACATTGATTGTTTTGTTGTTATTAAAGATGATGATGATGATGATGATGGTGATTTTGGTTGATTGAAAATGTGGATAAATTTTTTTCTTTTATACGTTTTATACGTTTTATGTTGGCATCAAAATCATCATCATCATTAAAATTATTGTTTTCGGAAATGAAACGATTTGATTCTATATTTGAATTACTACTATGAACAACAATTTGTTGTTGTTGTTGTTGTTGTTGTTCATTTATATCGACAGAATGAGACATTCGTATTAGTTTTAAGGATTCATGATCAAAACGATAATCACAGCTAGTACCAGAAATCAATTGGCCATCTGTACGAAACATGGCTATATAAATTGACAGAAATAAGAATTGAATGAAATTGAATTGAAAATTCAAATCAATATTATTAGAATGAATGAATAAATGAAAAAAAATATCGAAAATCGATTTCTATGCAGTAAATTGTTTTTTTTGTTGTCTATTTTTTACGACATACCTTTTTTTAGAAAACGAAATGTACCACGAAAACCGGTATTATTACCAGAACGCCAATCCGTATGAAATTCAAATATTAATATTGAATTTGAGCTAAAATGTGTTTGTTCAATATCGGGAAATTTTCCACATAATAATGGTGGATTCCATACGGTTGTTTCATCAATACCATCATTATCATCATCAGTATTTAAATGAAGAAATAGTTTAACATAATCACCATGATCACAGCTATGATAATAATAATCAGAAAAAAAATGAAATAAAATTCAAAAAAAAATCAATTTTGCCTTCAAGATAAAATTGAATATTTTTTTTCTTTTTTATTTATAAAAGTTATGTAATTCCACACACACACACACACACACACACACACACACACATTGTCAACATAACATGATCGTCTAACTTTTTTTTATTTTATTCACTATATATCATCACAATTGTTCATCATTCATATTCGATTATTATTGTTAAAAAAATGAATGAATGAATGTGAATCCATTTAATTCAACGGTATTGTCAATATATATATATTCTCTTGCCGTTTTTGTTCATATTCTATTGTGTCATACACACACACACACACACACACACACACACACACACATAGACAGTCAACAAACATTGGTAAACTTTTTTTTTTTTTTTTTTTTTTTGATGATTTTCATTTTGGATTGTTGTTGTTGTTATCCTTGTCAGGTTATTCTTGTCTATGTCTATGATGTTTTTTTTCTGATGTTCCTTCCGTTTTTGTTGTTGTTGTTGTTATTATTTTTCTTTTCATTTTTTAAAACTCGTTTATCATTATTCTTTTTTTATTTTCTTTAAAGAATTTATATCCATTATGTTCATTGTGTATATGTGGGCTTGTATGTAGTGATCATACAGATTGATTCGTAAATCATTGATTGATTTCACACAAATAAACAAAAAGAGAATGTAAAAAAAATATTAGGAACAAAATAAGTGGAAAATTTCTGCCTGACATCAGGTTTTGATCAACATCATCTACCATCATCATCATCATCATCATCATCATCATAAACTCAATGACAACAACAGAATAGAATTCTAAACATTAAAATATTGGTTGGCCTTTTTTCTATTCTATGCGATCGTTTTATGTTGTTGTTTTTTTTGGTTGTTGTTGCTGCTGTTGCAAACATACACACACAGAATATTCCATATCGGAATATTTTATAATAGAAATACATACAGAATGTGAATGGTAAGAAAAATAAAAATTGTTCTATTTGATTGTCTACGTTACACATATCGTTGATTTTATCATACGATTCTGCAATTTTTTTTCATCTACAATTCTCAGATGTGATGTGTGTATGTGTGATATGATTTCAAAGTCTTTGAATCGAAAATTCATTCTTCACATGTTTGTTCATATTTTTCACTGTATTGAATTGTGCAGTAACAAAAATAGAAAAAAAATTATTCTAGATTCATTGCAAACCAAGTCAATGCAGTATGCATTTGAATGAATTCAAGTGAATTGAAAATCAAATGAAAAAAAAATAAGAATAAGAATAGAAATCATGATGATGATGATGATGATGATGATGAAAAAATACACGAAAAAAAAGAATGGAATTCTTATTCCATGATTATTATTATTATTTCGTTGATTCATATGAAGAAAAGAATAAGTTAGTCAGTCAGTCAGTCAGTCAGTTAGACAGTCAGTCAGTTAGTCGATTTATTCATTCATATATGCAGTCATCAGCAAGTCATCATCAACATCAACATCAACAACAATAATCAATCAAACAAAGAATAAAGATGCAAAGAAAGAAAAAACGTTCCTGAATCAATGAAAAAAAATAGGAACCACACACACACACTTTTACGTTTATTTATGCATCATACACAGGATATATGTGTGTGTGTGTGATTCACATTATAAATTTTTCTTTTCTTCATTTTTTTTTCTTCTTCTTTCTATAT